TCCTTCTGCCTCAGCTTCCCAAGTAGCTGGGACTACAGGCATGCGCCACCATGCCCGGCTCATTTTTTCTCTCTCTATATATTTTTAGTTGTCCAGATCATTTTTTTCTATTTTTTGGTAGAGACGGGGTCTCGCTCATTGCTCAGGCTGGTCTCGAACTCCTGACCTTGAGCGATCCACCCCCACCTTGGCCTCCCAGAGTGCTAGGATTACAGGCGTGAGCCACCGCGCCCGGCCTCATTTTCAGCAAACTTTTAAAGGGTGAAGGGGAAACTTTCCTTTGGCTCCTGTGTAACACAGAGTTGCTCTGAGGGGGTGCATGGAACTCCCTGCCTGGAGGCTCTTGTCCCAAGGGAGGTGACATTTGATCTAAGACCTGATCTATCAGGGTTCTATCGGAACCCTCCATGCCAGGAGCTAAGGGACAAGGAGTCCAAGTAGAGGGAACAGGCTGCACGAGGGCCCTGAGGTGGAAAAAGCTGACCAGTTCCAGGAAGAGAATGGGGTCAGTGAATGAGTGGGCAGTGGGAGGAGGGGCTGGGCCAGCTGGCAGGGTCTGGGGGCAGTTTGCATTTTATTTCATTTCGGTGGGAAACCACTGGGAGGTTTTAGGCCAACGAGAAACCTGTTCTGTCAGGTATGGTGGTACGTGCCTGCAGTCCCAGCTGCTTGGGAGGCTGAGGCAGGAGGACTGCTTGAGCTAGAGTTTGAGGTCAGCCTGGGCAAGATAGCAAGACCCTTTCTCTGAAAAAGAAAAGTTTAAAAAATTTAAAAAAAAGAAACCTCTTCAGTTTTTAAAATAATCTCTCTGGCTGCAGAATGGAGAGTACACTGTAGCCTAGAGCCCTGCAGTTGGGGGTGTGTGGGGTGCATGGCTTGGACTGGCGCGGCCAGAGGTGGTGGGATGTGGACTGGTTTGAGACATGGGGACATGCCTTTTAATGAGTTGGGAAGTGGACTGACATTCCTGTACCCATTTCACAGATGGAGGAACTGCAGCTCAGAGGCATTTCCTGCACAGGGGGACTATCGTACTGTTTTACAAATGTAGAGATTGACAGGGGAAGGAATTTGCCCACTGAGACACAGCTAAGGCCAAATGTAGGTCCCTAGGCACTTTCTCTGCTCCTAGACCATCCTCCTCTCTAGGTGTGGCTGCTATTATTAACCACCTGCCTTTTGCAGTTGGGGAAATGGGCGCTCAGAGAAGAACAACGCTGGTGGTGGTGAGCCTGGGGTAGGACCCAGGGCCCCTGCTGCAAGGTCTAGAATCTAGACTCTGGATTCTCTGTCTCCCTGCTGCAGCCCCTGCCTGTCTTCCATGCTTGCACTCCTGGCACTATGGATGCCCAGGGACAGGAGGAGGATGAGGAGGCTGTGCTGTTTGTGGGAGGTGGTTACACCCCTGTCTGCCGCTTGCCTGGCTCGATGCCCACAGCGGGCATGTGTGACTGTGCATGTGAATGTGTGAGCCTGGTGCCCACAGGAGCTCTGCAGCTTCCCTGGGAATGCCAGGCACCCGGCCACCTGTCCTGCTCAGACCCAGTGTGCCCTCGCTTCTCTGTCCACTTACCTGCAGACCTCTTGTTTTCTGTGCCTTATCTCTGGGCCCTGCTTAGGCTTCTTGATGAGGAAATAATTAACCACAGACTCATTTTCCAAGGCTTCCATCCCACTTTCCTGGCCAAGTTAAAAATATTCACAATGAGCAGGGCTGCTGGTGGGAGGAGCCGCTTTGTGTGGGAGGGCAGCGGGAGCAGAGAGGGAAGGGTGTGTTGGGAGGGAGGCCTGGTGTGTGTTTGGCCCTAGAGCTCTGGGGAGAAGAGGGGCAAGGGCTGGGCTCTGGTCCTAGTTCCACTCCGCCTCACTTTGTGAATTTGGGCAAGTTCCTTGCCCTCTCTGCGCCTCTGCTTCCTTCTCTGTTAGTTGAGGAATTTACACTAGAATTTAGTTCTTTCTGTGCATAAACAGATGACACTCAAAGCGAAAACAAGTGAACAAAAACCAAACAAAAAAAAGTCTGTGGTTAATTAAATTTGGAAAGGACACTAGGATATATAAAGTTAAACCAGTTCTTCACTGCAGGCTTTTCAGAGCCTTTATTGGTTGGAAACTTTTATTTCTTTGGATAACTAATATCTATGCCCATGGCATCTAATTCAGGTGTGCAAGGGCTTTGCGGGGCTTACACCTCTTTCTTGTACCGGCTGTGCCTCCTCTGTTCCTCACGCTGTGCAGATGTGACTGCGGATACCAGTTTCTAATGCACAGAGAGATGGTATCACCCGCACCAGCAGATGCGGTGTAGACTCAGACCGCATCATGGTAAGTGACTACCAGTCTCCAAGAGGGGTGGGGGGAGATTGGATGCGCGTTTCTCAAACTTACATGACTTTGACCACAGACTTCCCCCCGCGCCCCCCATCTCTGGGACCAGCATCTGGAGAAAGACGGGGTCCCTGGTCCCCAGGTGCCTGGACACTTTATGTAGGAGGGGAGTTAGTGGTGCCCTGTAGCCTCAGACTCCTGTCTTGGAGAAGGTGCCCATGACCTCTGCCCTTTGGTGTCCACCCAGGGCCTGTCCCGATGAGCTTGAGGGAAGATCCAGAGCTGGCAGTCTATTTGGGGACACCGAGGCCCCGGAAGGGCAAGCACTCGCCCAGGTTGTGTGCCTGAAGGCTGCGCTCGGCGTGAGCAGCGACCCCGTCCGGTGGGCGCGCCGCGGGCGTGGGCCGCCGACGCGCGTGGCCCCAGGCAGGCGAGTGGCGGCGCGCGGGGGGGTGCGAGCGTGCGTGGCCCGCCCCCGCCCCGCCCCGAGTCGGGCAGGTGTGGGCGGGCCGCCGGGACCCCGCGGAGCCCGGGCCGGGAGAGCCGGCGGGAAACAGGAAGCGGGGGGAGGCGCGCGGCCGGCCGGCCGGAGGGAGGGCGTGCGGGCGGACGTGCGGGGTGGCTGGCCGCCGGACACTCGGCCCGGGTCGGGGCGGCGATGTGGGGAGGCCCGGGCAGCCCGGGCGGCTGCGGGGCCGGGGGCGGGGCCGGGGGCGCCGCGGACACCGCCCCCCTGCGCCGGCGGAGCCGCCGCCGGAGCGCTGACCCGGGAGCCCGAGGCGGCTGCGGCGTGCGGGGTGAGTCCGGGGAGCGCGGGGCACCGGGAGGGGGCCCCGGCGGCGACCGGCGGCGGGTCTTGCGGGCGACGCCCCGGGGGGGATCGACCGGCGCACCCCGCCCAGGGCGTCCTGCCGACCCCCGCGCGCCTCTCGCCTGCAGACCCCGAGGACGCGGCTATGCCCGGCCGGGCCGAGGCGGGGGAGGCCGAGGAGGAGGCCGGGGCCGGCTCTGGGTCCGAGGCGGAGGAGGACGCGCTATGGGAGCGGATCGAGGGCGTCCGGCATCGGCTGACGCGCGCCCTGAACCCGGCCAAGCTCACGCCGTATCTGCGCCAGTGCCGGGTCATCGACGAGCAGGACGAGGAGGAGGTGCTGAGCACCTACCGCTTCCCGTGCCGTGTCAACCGCACCGGTGAGCCGCGGGGGCCCGAGTGGGACACGTCCCGGGCGACCGTGTCCTCGAGCGCTGCGCACAGAGCCCGGGAGCGCGAGGCCAGGGCTCTGCTCCCGCGGGTCTCGGTCTACACCGGTAGAGTGGGCTGGCAGTGTATGCCCACCATCCCGCGGCCGCCTCCTGAACCCCTATGGCACTCAGGCGGCTGCGATGCCCACACCGGCGTCGGGGTGTCTGTCGGGGGTTCCCTCCCACTTCCGCAGGGGGTCGGATGTGGTTGCTAGGCTAGGCCTGGGACCTCCCGGTCACAGCCTGGACTTGGCACCTTTCCTGCGCTCTTTGATCTCCTCGGTTCTGTCTGCTGCCTCCTGTGTGCCACACACTCCTTGGACAGTCATTTTTCCTCAAGTGTTCAAGACCCATCTCAGCTTTAGGAGGGTCCCCTCTCCCACAGGGTGTGTCTTTGAACTAGAGCTGGCGAAAGAATGAGGGTCTAGCATTGGCCCATGGGACAAGTGTTTTATGCTGCCTTTGAGGATGGAGGGGGCTTCCCTGGGCCATTGCAGAGACAGGCTGCATTTGCGGGCCCTGCATCTGGGTGGGGTGTTGGGCAGCTGCCCAGACCCGGGGCCATAAGGGGGGGTCTGGCGCTCCTAGCTGTGGCAGACAGGCTCTCCTCCATATGTGTTGGGACAGGCCCCTGTGTGTGTCACCAGCTCAAAAATCTGGGGAACGTGGGCCTGGGGCATGGTGGGGGAAAAAGCAACCAGGTGCTGGGGGAGGCCTTCGCCTGACCCCTGGGCAACCCCCCCCCGCCCCCCAGGGCGCCTGATGGACATCTTGCGCTGCCGTGGCAAGAGGGGCTACGAGGCCTTCCTGGAAGCCCTGGAGTTCTACTACCCCGAACACTTCACGCTGCTCACTGGCCAGGAGCCCTCCCAGCGCTGCTCCATGATCCTCGGTGAGTGGGTCCACAATGGTGCTGTCGCCAGGGCCACCAGTGCAGAGGTTCCTTACCCCATCCCCATCAGGGAGGCACTCCCATTATCCCTGTTGAGGAGTTAGGGAGACTGAGGCAAAGAGACTGAGGGTTTGCCGAGGACCCACGGTAGGCAGAGGGTGGGGCTGGGTTCTAGCCAGTCTGCGCTCAGAGGCCACGTGCTTAAGGGGGCCCTTTCTCTGTAATGTTGTTTTTAGACAGGATATGCCCGACATACATGGATTTACAGTTTTTATACAAAAAATTCAAAGGCTCCGGGTGACTGTAGACTAAATAGAGAAGACACTTTTTCCTTCAGCGTACGCGGTAGCAGTTTGGCGAGCCTCCTTTTTCTTTGGTTTATATACACACGGGATTCGCCTACATGTGTGTTTTGCTTTTTCTCAGAATGACTGATTTTTACAGATTCTTCCACCTCTGTTACACTTGTTTTAAGTGACTGCGTCATGTTTATTAGTGAAGTTGTGACAGAATTCATTTAATTCATCCCTGTTGATGGATATGTAGGTTGTTTCCAGTTTTGCAACATTATGGTGATGCTGGGAACATCCTTGTAAGTGCATCTTTGTGGAAATGTGTGTCTCAGGGGAGAGGTTCTGAGAAGAATTTCACAGAGCCCGTGTGTATTTTAACTGTTAAATCAACATACCTGCCAGTAGTGTATGAGTGTCCATTTTACTGTACCCTCGTGAATCCTGGGGCTCATTTTTGAATACTTTGGCCATTCTGATGTATAAAAAATAATGTTACTATTTTAAATTTATATTTCATCGAATGATATAATTCACAACTTAATAGTTAATAAACCTTGGGAAATTGACTTGGCCTTTTGTGCCTCAGTTTTTCTGTCTTTAAAATGGGTGCAATTAATAGTATCTATCTTTTAGTGTTGTCGTGAAGATTAAGTTAATATATGTGTCTAGTACAAAGAATGAAGTCAACAAATGTTAGTGGCTACTGTCATTGTTGGTGGGTTGGAGCATATTTTCCTGTGTTTATTAGCCATTTTTATTTTCAGACTTGCCTATTGATAATTTTTGCCTATATTTTTATTTTATTGTTTACCCTTTTTATTGATTTTAGGAGATCTTTATATATTATGGCTCCGAGTTCTTTGTTATGTTTGTTATATTTTCTTCCACTCTGTTGCTTATTGTTTAACTTTGTTGCATCTTTCAATTTTCAGAGATTTAAACATTTTTATATGGATTTATCCATCATTTCTATTATAACACTTAGACTTTGTACCTTTAGGAAGGCCTTCTCTACCCCAAAATTATAAAAACATATTTCATAATTTTCCTCTGTGTTTTTATGGTTGGAGTTCTTCTGTACAGTCTGCTATCCCCCCTGGATTTTATCTGCCTGAGCTGACTGTGCTTTCCCCTGTCCTGGCAGATGAGGAGGGGCCTGAGGGTCTGACCCAGTTCCTGATGACAGAAGTGCGGCGGCTGCGGGAAGCTCGCAAGAGCCAGCTGCAGCGGGAGCAGCAACTGCAGGCCCGGGGCCGGGTGCTTGAGGAGGAGCGGGCAGGGCTGGAGCAGCGGCTGCGGGACCAGCAGCAGGCGCAGGAGCGCTGCCAACGGCTGCGGGAGGACTGGGAGGCAGGCAGCCTGGAGCTGCTACGGCTCAAGGATGAGAACTACATGATCGCCATGCGCCTGGCACAGCTCAGTGAGGAAAAGAACTCGGCTGTGCTGCGCAGCCGTGACCTGCAGCTGGCGGTAGGCCCTGGGGAGGTGGGCGGGGTAGTGTGGGGAAGGGCAACTTTTGTAAAAAAATGATGGTAATGTAGCCAACTCATGTCCCGGAGCAATCACCTGCTGGCTCGTTGACCGTGAACTTGTCCTTGCACTGCCATGTGCACCCACTTCCTTGGGTATGACTGTGATTCTCAACTGGGGGCAATTTTGCCCCCCCTAGAAACATTTGGCCGTATCTGGGGACATATCTGGTTGTCACAGCTAGGGAGGTGTTATGGCATCTAGTGGGTGGGGCCAGGGATGCTGCTAAACATCCTAGAAGTGAACAGGACAGCCTACGCAGCAACATATGTAGCCCAAAATGTCGATAGTGCTGAGGCTGAGACACCTGA